CACACACACACACACACACACACACACACACACACACACACAGCAGCAAAAGCAGAGTCATAAGGCAGTATTGTTAGACTGCTTCCTGTTGTCACATTTCCTTCCTGTTGAGTAACTTTAAAGCTGTGCGAGTGTGTGCGTAAAGACTGTGTGCGCCTTTAGCTTCAAACGTTCCTCGCAGACATGCAAGCACAAGTGACACCTCAGCTACCACGACCAGCTATGATTCATACGGGAAAAGCATCAACAAGAGTGAAAAACAAAAGTGGACAAAGTGCGGGGATTCTAACAGGACACAACAAGTCTGTAACCGACAGAGAGGAACACAAACATTTGTGTTGGTAAGAAAGCAGAAACCCTCGCAAAAAGCTACAGTCACGATGCAGGAATCTGGTTTATTATCGAGTCAATCAGCTGTCAGCACTGAGAACTGACTGTAGTTACCATGATGATGACTTCCAATGGAAGACCAACTTTCCCCTATTAAAAAAAACATTCCCACAGACAATTTTTACAACAAATAACGTATCAAAGCAGCTGTGAATCCACAAACACATKTGTGTTTTTGGTGTGAGAAGTGTGGTGATTGAAGTGCTCTTTATGTCAAACACTACCTGACTAGTAACTAGACTGACTAGACTGCAACTGAAAACATGGATGGAGGACCTCAGTTTAGCTTGTTTGTCCTGCTAGCGTTGAGCTAATACATATAAGGCAATATAGCAGGGTTATTCAACTAAATTGCTCTGGGGACCACAGTTAATGCAGACCAACAGCTCAGGGGCTGAACATCCAGCAATTAAAGTTGTTATGTAAATAAACTAAGTATTACAAAGATCTGTTACCTTTTAAATGGTTTATTTTGCTGTATTTAATCATGAAAACATATTAACCTTTTTAATAAATGTAGTGATGACAAAACAAACAAACAAAAAAAGAAACACATTATGCCTCTTGTTTACCACAAAATATTTTGACATCTCTGAGTTGCCAAATTTTTAAACCAATTTTATTTTCACTTTCATAGTTTTATCTTCAACTGCTTGTAGTTTTAACTGTCTTGAATGTTCATAGAAAAGGTTTTTACCAGCTTGTAGCCAAGATTCTGATATTTCTGTAGATACCAAACATGTCTATGTTTAACTAAAATAACAGAGTAATTAAAGTAGAAAACTGGGAGTTTGGGCTTAAGAGATGAGTGAACCAATTGGTGGGCCGAACTTTGGTCACTCGCGGGTCGGATGTGGCCCGTGGGCCGCCAGTTGAATAGCCCTGCAATATAGCATCGGCGCTAGCGCAAAGACTAACAAGATACGCTGAGGTTCTTCTTCCATGAAGCAGCTCTGTTGTCCTCCATCCATATTTTCAGTTACAGACTGAGTCATTTCTACCTTCTCYTCTCTGTCAACGCTCTCTGGTTTCATTTAAAAGAGTCGATCGTCAGATATTGTCCAAGATTAACCTTCAGGGTGGATATAGCTCGCTCACACCGAGGACCTATCCACATCATCATTTACCCAGAATGCTTTGCGTGTAAATAAAATGGCTCTGTCTGTGTTAAAATATATTTTTAAAAATTATAAAAAC